TCAATCAATCTAACCTGCAAAGAGCTATCAATACTGTCAACCACAGTGGAGAAACTACTGTTAAGTCATTACTGGCACCCAAAGGGAGCAGTCTGTGCCTTTAACTAGAAAAAGATACAGAAGAAAACCAGCATAAAAGCTAGAAAAATCTAGAAAACACAACATTAACTAATTAGAAAAATAAAATGTGCAATTAGATGAAGCTTAAATCTTTGTGGTCATTAAAATCCAGGAGGAGAGTATGTATGTTTTTATTTTCTGTAATGTACACAACAGGAAGATTTAACCCAAACATACTATCTTATCTTTTAAAAACAGATAATCTGTGAAAACACTAAGCTTATTTTGGAATAAGAAAATATTCAAATGCACCAAAGGTCCCTATAGCTTAATTAGCTCTACTGCTTTCCATATAAACAAAGTAAAGGACCACATAGAGAGCAAACAATTAGTGCCTCTGGGTTAGGAAGGATGAAAAGCAAGAAAATAATCAGAACACTCACCTTTAATGAAGTATGGCTTCTCCCAAAAGGTCACTCCATGTACCTTGTGTATTCTTGTCCTTTCCACTTACCTTTTTCTCAGCTTCTCCTCCTTTCTTCTCTCTCTTTGGGTTCAATTCCACACGTTTTAAGGTTCCTCTGCTCTACCCATGTCAGCAGAAAAGACAAACCACAGTTGCTGATTTGGGAAATTCCTACCCTGGAAGGTACAAGTACTTTTTCCTGTCACTGAAGAGGAAGTGCATACAGGGTGTGAAGGACCATTCACTAGGAGTCTGTCCAGAGTGATTTTGTACTCAATTATATTAAAATAACTGTAGTTATTTTGACTGCAGCCTAAGGAAAGAAAAAATTTCTCCTGCCTGGCTGAGGACCACAGCACACATGCTCAGCTCAGACCCTTTGATGGAGATGCTGTTTCCTATGTCTGTTCTCTGACCAGGACAACAGCCTCTCCATTTGGCACATTTTTTTTTTTCCTACAAACAGCCATCCCAATAATTACAGACCAGGTTAGCAGATAATATTAAAGAGCTTGTAAACTCCAATTTGGATCCATGTAACAACTGTAGTCATCTAAAAACATAACATTAAATAGATTAAATGCAGCAAGGAAAGGCCCTGGAATGATTTTATCACTGAGGACCAGGTAGGTCCTTCTCATTCCCATCATGACAGCTAGATTTATAAATCCAATAGTTAATTGGCATGGATGTTACCAAACCAACTGCTGCCACTGGAAAAGGTTCATTCCTGGACCTGAATTCCCAAATACTCTACAATACACATAGAATAATTCTATAAACCAGGCTTTGTGGCTGGTTCATGCTGTGAGCACATCAAGCCTGTGTTTCCCACACCATCTAGTGGCAAGTCTGCAAATGTGATGGGAACGAACATCTCACCCATGAGACAAAATCAAGAAGAGAAATCATTGCTAAGTCTGCAATGGATTCATCACACTGCTGGGGAGTTACAGCTGCTTCAAGGCAGCACATTTTAAACCCACAAACAAGCTGAACACTCTGTGGTATTCATGGGAAAGCTGAGTCAGATTGTTTATTTGATAGCAAAGCAGTGCCAACACAGTGAACCTGAGTCCTGAGGTTTTTGAGAATGACCACAAAGACCTTTATGGTGCCAGGGAAAGGTCTCCTGTGCTCAGGTGTTTGATGTTTGCTGCTGCTAGTGATGGGAACATCACATCAAACACAGGAGTCTGCACTGTCACACTCAGGTACAGAAGAACTCCCTGTGAAAGAATGCAGTGTTCAAGTAAACTAAGGACAAGAGTTACCTGAATGAATCTCCTTCCTGAAAAAGAAGATGCAATAAGTCTTCACTTTGTCCTCCTTCCATGGTAAATTAATGGAGTATTTGAATCCCTTCCTGCTGTCAGAGCCCAAATCTACTTTGGGCTTTCTGAAGTGGGAAGAGGAAGGAAGGAGCAGGGGCTACAGGACCCAGACAAAACCTGTGGACCTCCCTGCACAACAGACCTTTCTGACTGCCCTGGGAAGGTCAGAAGATGGCCAGGAGCAAAGACAGCAGGCTGAGATCTGAGCAGGTTTGGACAGGGGTTTTCCACAACCTCTGGAGGCATCACTGACCATGCCTTCACTTTGCAATCCAAACCCAAGTGATTCGAGCAGATTTCTGGTCTGCAGATCCAGAAACTAACAGAAAGCACAGAAAATCATTCTGGGATTCTCATGTTCCTTACATGTTTCCATTACACCCTTCACACACTTCACCTGTACGTGTGACTCATTAGGAATGAAGTTAAAATATGAATTAGACTTCAAGAAGGTTTGAAACAGATATTGGATTTATTGGTCAGCTATGAGTAGGAAAATACATTGGTAAAGAAAAAGAAGACCCTGTATATAAATATAATACTAACTAGTTAAAATTTGACCAAGAAGAAAGTTCCACTGAAGAGAACAGTAAAAGCCCTTGTTTACCATCAGACCATATTCAGTTTCCCATTTATCTTATTGAAGAGCTGCCTATAGACAAATGCAACATTCTTTGAGCTTAGTGCAGATAATGTGCTGGTTTTTGTTACATGAATGGTAAACAAGAGTTAGTCCAGTGCATTACACATTATACAGAAGTACTGTGAATAAAGACTAAGATACTCTATTTTAGACACTACTTAAACATACCAAGACACTTAAGTGTTACAAATTTATGCAACCAAAAGAAAAGAATAGCAGTTAACATACTAAAAAATACTGTGTCTGGCTGAATGAGAAAGGTTTGCTACTGAAGCGGTTAACTGAACTTTTTTAACTTTTACAGTGTAATTAGTTTTCTTCCCCCCCCCCAATGGTGTTGCAATTATTTTGTCTTTCAGACAGGTTTTGCATGGCTGAAAAAGCAAACCAGAAGCTATTTTCAAAGACTGCTCTAAAAACACCTTAGAGAGATTTGCTGAAGTTACATCAAAGATGCATTCACTGTTGCTAAAATCAGTTTTGTCCACTGCTAGCCAAATTCATCTTTTTTTCATTTGAAGTGGCTAAGAAGACAAAATAATTACAACACACACCAACTTATATGCTCTTTCCCCCTCTATCTGTGTTATGTTAAAAGCAGTAACTTGTGGTATTAGTCTTGTACTCTAATCAATTCTTTTAGTTAAAGGTATATTTCAATTTACATTTTGACACCCAGAATTCTTGGTAAATGTAAATCAAACTAGACAAGATATGGCTGACTGTACTTTAAGTGGAAAAAAACCTGGTCTAACCTAAAGAAATCCTTTCAACCCCAAGGATGTTCTGTGACTTTTGCTCTATGTGCTTGAACAACAAGAACACTGAAGGTACATTATGGCAACACCCAAAACCACCTCCAATAAAAACATTGCAAAGAACCATTTTGTGTTAAAAACTGTGAAGCAAACATTTTGATTTTGTGAAGACAGGGTTTATTGCCTTATTCTATGTTATAGCTGGAAATTGAAACTTTTGAGTTAGATTTGTTTGACACAAGAATATATTTTCTTTGAAAGATTGACAAAGTTTATCTCAG